GCCCCCCCCCCCCCCCAAAGAACTCTAACAAATTAGTAAGGCATGATTTCCCTTTACAGAAACCATTTTGACTTTCCCGCAACAAATGATATTCATCTATGTGTCTGATAATTTTATTCTTTACTATAGTTTTAACTAATTTGTCCAGTACTGACGTTAGCCTTATTGGTCTGTAATTGCCAGGATCACCTCTAGAACCCTTTTTAAATATTGGTGTCACATTAGCTCTCTTCCAATCATTAGGTACATAAGCTGATTTAAAGGATAGGTTACAAACCACAGTTAATAGTTCTGCAATTTCCCATTTGAGTTCTTTCAGAACTCTTGGGTGGATGCCATCTGGTCCTGGTGACTTGTTACTGTTAAGTTTATCATTTTGTTCCAAAACCTCTTCTAATGACACCTCAATCTGGGACAATTCCTTAGATCTGTCACCTAAAAAGAATGGCTCAGGTTTGGGAATTTCCCCAATATCCTCAGCTGTGAAGACTGAAGCAAAGAATTCATTTAGCTTCTCCGCTATTACTTTATCATCTTTGAGGGTTCCTTTAGCATATCGCTCGTCCAAGGGCCCCACTGGTTGTTAAGCTGACTTCCTGCTTCTGATGTACTTAAAAACCATTTTACTATTACTTTTTGAGTTTTTGGCTAGTCGTTCTTCAAACTCCTTTTTGGCTTTTCTTCTTACAGTTTTACGCTTTAATTTGACAGTTTATGGTCCTTTGAATTCTCACTAGGATTTAACTGCCACTTTTTAAAAGAGAGCTTTTTATCTGTGTCTGCTTCTTGTACCTGGTTGTTAAGCCACAGTGGCATTTTTTTGGTTCTCTTATTGTGTTCTTCAATTTGGGGTATACGTTTAGGCTATGTCTAAACTACAAGGTTTTTGCACAAAAACCAGCAGAGCATCCACACCTCAAGCGCATTTTTGCACCAAAAAACCAACCCAGTACATCAACAGGACAGAGGGATTTTGCAGGTAGAGTTATTCCTCTCCCCATGAGAAATAACTCCTTTTTTTTGGCTTCAGCTCTTGCTCAAAAAGGATGTGTGGACGCTCTGTAGGAGTTTCTTGTGCAAGAAAGCTCTGATGGCCATTAACAGAATGGCCATCAGAGCACCTGCTCTTTTTGGGCAAGAGCTTCCATGCAGTGTAGACGCTCGCTTTGAGGCATGGACGCGCTTTTGTAAAAACCCTGCAGTGTAGACAAACCCTTAAGCTGGGCCTCTATTATGGTGCCTTTGAAAAATTTCTATGCATCTTACATAGATTTTACTTTTGTCACGTACCTTTTAATTTCTGTTTAACTTCCTCTAACTTCCCCTTTCTGAAATTAAATGCCACAGTATTGGGCTGCTGAGGTGTTTTTCCCACCACAGGGATATTAAATTGTATTACATTATTGTCACTATTTCCAAGTAGTCCAGTCATATTTACCTCTTGGACCAGATCCTGCGCTCCACTTAATCAAGAATAGCCTCTCCCCTTGTGGGTTTCAGAACCAGCTGCTCCAAAAAGCAGTCATATAACCTATCAAGAAATTTTATCTCTGCATCCTGTCCTGAGGTGACATGCACCCAGTCAATAATTCCTAAGTGTCAGGGTGGTCAAATATTGGAATAAATTGCCAAGGGAGGTGGTGGAATCTCCCTCTCTGGAGATATTTAAGAACAGGTTGGATAGACATCTGTCAGGGATGGTGTAGACGGAGCTTGGTCCTGCCTTGAGGGCGGGGGGCTGGACTCGATGACCTCTTCTCCCTTCCAGTCCTATTATTCTATGAATATGGGGATAGTTGAAATCCCCCACTATTACTGAGTTTTTTAATTTGATAGCATTTCTAATCTCCCTTAGCATTTCATAGTCACTGTCACTGTCCTGATCAGCTGGTCAATAATAGAGATTCTATGGAACATTTTGGCTCATTTAAGATGTTTACCTCATTTGATTCTACATTTTCTTTCACATTTAGTGCCACTCCCTCACCAGCATGACCTGCTCTGTCCTGATATATTTTGCATCCTGGTATAACAGTGTCCCATTGATTGTCCTCATTCCACCAAGTTTCCGTGATGCCTGTTATATCAATATCCTCCTTTAAAACTAGACACTCCAGTTCACCCATTTTACTATTTAGACTTCTAGCATTTGCATATAAGCACTTTAATAATTCGTTACTATTTATCTATCTGCCATTTTCTGATGTTAGACTCTTTTTCATTTGATTGTTTCATTTGATCTAACCCATACTTCCATCCTCTCCTCCTGACTAGAACATAGAGCATCTCTATTAATAGAACCTCCCCTAAGAGATGTCTCTCTTCGATCCATGTGCTCCTCCACACCTGTCGGCTTTCCCCCCAGTCCTTAACATTAAAAAGGTCATAGAACAGTTTTTAAACTAAATGCCAGCAGTCTGGTTCCATTTTGATTTCAGTGGGAGCCCATCCGTCCTGTATAGGCTCCCCCAATCCCTAAAGTTTCCCCAGTTCCTAATAAATCTAAACCCCTCCTCTCCACACCATCGTCTCATCCATGCATTGAGACTCTGAAGCTCTGCCTGCCTACCTGGCCCTGCGCGTGGAACTGAAAGCATTTCAGAGAATGCCACCATAGAAGTCCTGGATTTCAGTCTCTTTCCTAGCAGCCTAAACCTCTCTCTTATCACCCTTCCCTATGTTATTGGTACCTACATGTACCATGACGACTGTCTCCTCCCTGGAACAATACATAAGATTATCTAGATATCGCGAGAGATCTGCAACCTTCGCACCAGGCAGGCAAGTCACCATACGGTTCTCCAGGTCATCACAAACCCAGCTATGTTTCTAATAATTGAATCCCTCGTTACTAAAACCTGCCTTTTCCTAATGAGTGGAGTTCCCTCCCCCAGAGCTGTATTCTCAGTGCGAGAGGAGACCATAACATCCTCTGAAAGGAGGGTCCCAACTATGGGATCATTTCCCTCTGTCCAATTGCAGCAAGAGCTTGGGAAAGGCCGACTTCCCACACATTTAGCTCCCTGCTGACTTGAGAAGCCTGAATTAAAAATAAAATCTCTTAAACGAGCTATCTAATGAGACCCGGGAGGAACTGTTAATTTTTGAGCATCAAAATCACAATTCTCTGAATTATCTTAAAACCGATACAGTAATGTGTGTGCCTCCTATTGCACAGCCTCCGTGGAGTCAATGTAAAGCCAAGAGGCAAAGGCCTACCTGTGTGGGAGCTATTCTGTTGTCTGAGCATTTTCCCTTTGAGGCCTTCCAGGCTGAAGTGTGCTTGCTGAGATTGTACATCCATACGCTTCCCTTTTCGTCGCCGCAGAACACGTATTCTGCTGCTGCAGGAGCAATGGAAGAGGCAGTACAGTGTGGAGCAGTGTTTCTGAAACTGTATTCCGCGGTACATCGGTGTGCCGTGAGGCAGTTGGAGGTGTTCCATGGAGAACAATAGAATTCAAAATGGCTGCCCTTAAAGGAACAGGAAACCTTCCCCCAACCAATCCCCAATAACTCCCTCCCTGACCTTTTTTTTTTTTTTTTTTTCCTCAACAAAAAGTTTGTTTTTCCTCATAAAAAAATAAAAAATTATTGTTTGGTGTTCCTTGGTCTTAAAAAGTTTAGAAACACTGGTGTGGAGATTTCTGATGGCCAGGAGCAAAAACTTCTCACCTGTCTAGTGCTCTAACCCCTGGGCTATGTCTACACTGGCAGCTTCTTGTGCAAAAAATCTTCCACAAGAGCACAGCCACACTGCCATGTGCTTTTGCGCAAGAGCATCCATGGTAGTGTGGACACACTCTTGTGGAAGAAAGCTCTGATGGCCATTTTAACCATAGGGGCTTCTTGCGCAAGAAATTCATGTTGCCTGTCTATGCTGCCCTCTTGTGGAAGAGCTCTTGGCAAGAGGGCTTATTCCTTGTGGGGAAAGGAATAACTCTTCCGGAAGAAGCCCTGTTTTACAACGCTATACTGTAAGGCTACATCTACACTGGCATGATTTTCCGAAAATGCTTTTAATGGAAAAGTTTTCCGTTAAAAGCATTTTCGGAAAAGTACGTCTAGATTGGCAGGATGCTTTTCCACAAAAGCACTTTTTGCAGAAAAGCGTCGTGGTCAATCTAGACGCGGTTTTCCGCCAAAAAAAAACCCCGATCGTCATTTTCGCGATCGGGGCTGTTTCGCGGAAAAGAAATCTCTGCTGTCTACACTGGCCCTTTTCCGGAACAGTTTTCCGGAAAAGGACTTTTGCCCGAACGGGAGCAGCATAGTTTTTCCGGAAAAGCACTGATGATTTTACAGTAGATCGTCAGTGCGTCAGTGCTTTTCCGGAAATTCAAGCGGCCAGTGTAGACAGCTGGCAAGTTTTTCCGGAAAAGCGGCTGATTTTCCGGAATAACTTGCCAGTGTAGACACAGCCTAAAAGTATTTGTGCAAGAACCCTCGTGCAGTGTAGACAGCAGGCAAGTCTTTGCGCAAGAACAGCTGTTCTTGCTCAAGAAGCTACCAGTGTAGACATAGCCCTGCTGTTCCTCTGGTGGCAACCCTAGCTTAAGACGGTGACACAGAGCCCAGTGTGATGAATGTTACCCTCTTTGTAGTCCATTCTTAATTGCTGCAGGGATTAGTAAACCAGCCTTACAAAATTCAGCTCCCAAATATTTTTATCGACTAGTCCGATAGCACTGATCTTAGCACAGTAAGGATTTTGGTCTCAAACTGGTATGTTTTTAATGACCCGTGGCGAGAAGATTCTAACCTGGAAGAGCTGGCGCAAAGCGATCTGTGCAGAACGAGCTGAGCATGTGCAGAACCGCACAAAACCAAGCGGCTGGCAAGTGGGGCTCGCCACCAGTTGGCGAGCCCTGATAATGACCATTTTGCAAGACTGAAATAAAGTAGTTTTAATGCTGGTCTGAGCAGGGAAACTAGTTCAGTTTCAATTATTGGTCTTGCACTGCTACAGTACGTCTACACTGCTTTTTTTTGCGGACAAGCAAACACGCTCTTTCGGGGAGCACTGTATACTTCATTCTATGAGGAATAAGGGCTCCTCCGAAAGAGAAGGCTTTTCTGACTAGACAGGGCCAAATGGTGGAAAAGCCTCTTCCAGAAAAGCGATCGGAACAAGCTATAGTGTAGACCACAAGCTAAATCGGAGTCCACAGTGTGATGCTGTTGCAAAAAACGCAAACACGATTCTGGACTGCATTAACAGGAGTGTTGTGAGCAAGATACGAGAAGTCATTCTGCTTTAGTCTGCGCTGATTAGGCCTCAGCTGGAGTATTAGGTCCAGTTCTGGACACCACATTTCAAGAAAGATGTGGAGAAATTGGAGAAGGTCCAGAGAAGAACAACAAAAATGATTAAAGGTTTAGAAAACATGAGCTATGAGGGATTTGTTTAATCTGGAAAAGAGAAGACTGAGGGGAGACATGATACCAGCTTTCAAGTATCTAAAAGGTTACAAGGAGAAAAGAGAAACATTGTTCTCCTTGGCCTCTGAGGATAGGATAAGAAGCAATGGGCTTAAACTGCAGCAAGGGAGGTTTAGGTTGGACATTAGGAAAAACTTCCTACCTGTCGGGGTGGTTAAACACTGGAATAAGTTGCCTAGGGAGTTGTGGAATCTCCATCTCTGGAGATATTGAAGAGCAGATTAGACAGACACCTGTCATGAATGATGCAGAATAGGGCTGGACAAAAGCCACTCAGTGGGCCGGATCCAGCACACCAAGGGCTTTGATCTGGCCCATGCAGCTGTTCCAGGCCCTGCCCCCTAGAACGTTGCCTAGGAGCCATGCAAGTCTTTTCAACGGCTTCTATTTAAAGGGCTTGCAGGGCTCCGCCCCTTTCATCCGAGGCCCCGCCCTTTCCTGGGTGGCCTGTGACATCAAACATTTCTGAAGTGGCCTCTGCTCAAAAAGTATTGCCCACCCCTGGTGTAGAAGGTGCTGGGTCCTGCCGTGTGGGCAGGGGACTGGACTTGACGACCTCTCAAGGTCCCTTCCAGTTTTAGAATTTTGTCTTCATAAGCTAATCTACCGGCCCTTTCAGGCATTAGCATTTTTACAGATGCCGCATCAGAACAACTACTCAGCAGCAAGTCCCGGCCTAGCATCCAGGCCTTGAACACCAATCACGGAACTGCCCAAGGAATCAGGTTAGTAAAGCAGAACTGGCGGTTCCCTCTACTATTGAAAGAACAAACTGTACCTTTCAAGTCCTTCCCCAACAATAGCTCCTGGCCTTCTCTACTGTAGTTACCAAGGTGTGCTTACCTGGACAGGTGCTGAGGGTGAGATAGGGCAGGTCTGTTGTGGACCACTCCAGTTCAGCTAGAATAACTGCAGCTAGTGTCTTCTGACATGATTTCCGCTGTGCCTCAAAGGACTGGCTCCAACTCCATAAATATATCGACCCTGTCTTAGAACTCTTCGACACTGACGGGGAGAAAGCCAGCCTATCAGAAGTGAACATCCTTCATGTCTTTTAAAATGGCACCAGCCCTCTCAGGACTGAATTTCTTACTGGCACATGCTCCCTATTACAAAAGAAATCTGGTCCCTATGTGTGAACCGAGGGACCTTTCTAGTCACCCTTGCCTTAAGCAAACTGATAGTGTGAGACTAGTGGGAGAATTAAACAAACCTGATTTCCCACCCAGGAATAGTTTAAAGCTACACCCAGGCTACGTCTACACTGGCCCCTTTTCCGGAAGGGGCATGTAAATTTCACTAGTCGCCGTAGGGAAATCCGCGGGGGATTTAAATATCCCCCACGGCATTTAAATAAAAATGTCCGCCACTTTTTTCCGGCTTTTAAAAAAGCCGGAAAAGAGCGTCTAGACTGGCCCCGATCCTCCGGAAAAAGTGCCCTTTTCCGGAGGCTCTTATTCTTTTTTAAAAGCCGGAAAAAAGCGGCGGACATTTTTATTTAAATGCCGCGGGGGATATTTAAATCCCCCGCGCATTTCCCTACGACGACTGCTGAAATTTACATGCCCCTTCCGGAAAAGGGGCCAGTGTAGACGTAGCCCCTATAACGACTAGTGAAATTTACATGCCCCTTCCGGAAAAGGGGCCAGTGTAGACGTAGCCCCAAGGTCTCTGGCACTGCTAGGTTGGGTAATAGGAAAACTGGCGCTAGTGTGGCCTTGGAAGCAGCTATGAAAACAGGAAGCCAATGAACTGCTGGCCACTATAAAGTGTTGTCTACTCCGAGAAGTTTGTGCACAGCAAGGTAGCGTGAGAATTTAGTACCCCTTAGCTATTCTGCACTAACATCCCTGTGTGGGCCATCTTCGTGTGCACTAAAAGCACACAAAGGTCCTTAGTATGTATTGTGAGTATCCAAGGGCTTAGTGCAAAATAGCTAATGTCAGTCAATTCACCCACCAGCTTACTAGATGCTAACATCCCTGTGTGGACAGGCCCACAGAGCCAAACCCTGCCAGATTTCAGGAGGGAGCTAGGCTCCCTGAACCAAGAAAGCATTTTCTCCAGTTCTGTTCAAGATTTAAAGCACGTGCAAGCCATCTGCCTTGAATGGCTGGCATTAAAAAGGCTCTCCTGTGTAGCTCCAGTCCCAAATCTGCCCCAGCCCTCCAAAATATTAAAACCCACTAACGTGTTCACAGTCTCAGATGGGCTAGTACAAAATTCAAGTTGTTCCAGCCTGCCTAAGAGCAGGGGAACATGACTTCTATGGTGTGCAGGAAATAACGGTGTTTATGGTCACCTGCCCCCAATGATCTGAGTTCATGTTTACCTACAACATCCTTGTTCAGAAAAGCCAATCCATCCACTCGGTGGGAAGCAGTCTCTTCTCCCTCATCATTAGGAAACTGGAACGCCACTTCAAAAGGCCTGGTGAAAAATTTAGATGTTACAGCAGGGCTACTTAACTTTGGAAGCCCTGGGGGCCACAATGATACAGCACATGCCGAGGGCTGCAACTTAAGTGTGGTTGCATATACATGCAAATATATGCAAATAGATTCTTTCACACTGATGGGCATGAATACAAAGCTTAAAGCAAGACTTACACACACACAGGCCCCGTTTAAGTCAGTTCTGCTGATATTAATAAAATGCAATAGTTACTCGATTTCCACCCATATGACAGCACTTTTAATGAACAATGACAGTTCAGGAATTTAACTACTAAAACCCATATCAACAGAAAATCGTTATATTGTCTACTTTTTTGTTTTGGCTCCCACCCGCGGGCTGCAAACAAACGAGCTGCGGTCTGCGTGTTGAGTAGCCCTGCGTTACAGAATAGTCGGCTACTGAATGAGCAAACGCTTTAAGCTCCACCCGACCCCTTCAACAAGCCAGTGATATACCCTGGGTCACAGAATGCAGTGACAGACGCAGAGTGTCTTCCAGCTTTTCTCAGTATCTAGTCAGGAGCATTCCTGAATGCTCTCTACCTTTATGCGCCAAGAAACAGACCTCCGGCTACAAGGTGAGACGCACGTCTGGCAACCCAAGGGATGAGAATCTTAAAGCCCTAAAAACGAGCAGCTGAACCAACTGCTCATTTGCAGCGTTATGGGACTGTAACAATGTATCAAGTGAGGTTTTTTTTTTATGACAGTCTGTAATGTTCTGAACTTGATGGTCTCTGAGACGTGTACATGGGCTACAATTTTGACTGCATCTCCCAGCAGGGAGGGGCACTTTCTGAGCCCGGTATCCTCAAGAAACAGTCTCCAAACCATTGTCCAGTCAGGAAGAGACAATGGCGGAGCCTCAGAGTTAATGGAAAGCCACTCAGACAACCCAGCTCTCAAGTTAAGAGGGGATTCACACACTGAATAAACATCAGTCTCCCTGGACTAGGGAACAAAAGGAAAGGGGGCAGAGAGGGCACATTTTAAAAGTAAGGTTGTGTCAGAGGTGGGTTTTTTTAAACCTGGAAACTGAGAGATAATGTCTAGGTGAGAAGCTAGCTATGAAATCTGGATCACCCTAGAATTAGGGGGTACCGGGGGAACCTGTGTTTATTCCAACCAGATCTCTGTTGTAGTAGGAATGTGCTAGGCAATTGATACCCAGGGGGGCTGGTTTCATGCTTTCCGACTGGCGATCTGCAAAGAGGAGCAGATTGAGTGTCTGGTAGTTAAGAAGTCAGGGAGGGTCGATCAAGGAAGACTCAAGGCTGTAAGCGCTCTTGGTGTCCCCCTCCAAAGAGTAACTAGCCAGGGGAGAAATCTTGGGGTGGGGGAACTTGAGGCTGGGTTGGCAGCCCTTGCTTGGAGCTGGCTACTGGAGTCTGAGCATCATACATGCTAAGTAACTGCTCTCTGTGCCTCTTGCTGTGGTCCCTAATCTTGTAGCGCTGGGGAATTCGATCCAGAGCTAACAGGTTTTCCTCATCTCAGCCTTCTGTAATCAGGCTCCCAAAGCCCTCAGAGCGCTCGTGGTTGTGGACAGTGAATGTGGGTCCCAGGCATGTGGGTCTTACCTGCTTTTCTGTGGCTTGTCCAGTCTAATATCCCAAGCAAAGCAACCTTCTTCACAACCAGCCAGCAGGAACTGATCAGGGCAGGATGGGACCAGAGCAATCCGTAATGGAATAGAAGCAACTTCCAGCACCATCAGTTGGCTGGCAAATAAAACGGACACTTAGTCCAACCTCCTGTAACAGCTGCTTCTCAGGAGACTTTAATGGGGCGCTGCTTGTTTCTGAACAGTTACCTTGCTTTGAAGTTGTAGTCACAATCCGGGACCCCGATATCCCAGAGGCCAATTCTTTTGTCGTAGGATGCAGCTGTGGGGGGACACAAAAGGTACCAGGCTGTTATAGACCATTACTTGCCAACTTTGCTTTTTATTCCACAATCATTCCTCCTAATCTCACAACGTGTCAGATGGAGGTGTCATTTGTGAGGCTGTTAACCCAGCATCCTGCCTCTGAGCTTTGACCCCCAACTAACAAAGCACCCAAGTCACTGAACACAAATGCTTTGAAATATTTTTTTAAACTGTGGAAAGAAAAATCCTATTTTGTGTGAATGTATTGCTGGTAACGAGTGCTAGTCTGCTAGCTCTAGGGCCCTTTATCCACAGCACGGGCAGTGCCAGCTTCCCCCAGACCAAACCTGTCTTCTCAAGGGAGCACGTTGAAGGGTGAAAGGGAAGTTTGTTTTCCATGGTACATCCAGTCTGTGGCCTTGGAGAAGGTCAACAGGAGCAGCAATTAATGCCTCTTCCTGCCAGTGTTGTTTTGGTCACTTGTCCCAATGGGGCATGTGAGGAGAGCATGGATGCCTCTATCCAGGTCCTGGAGTGGTGTTGCAGTATTTGTGGCTTGCAATTCCCACTGACTGATATCCAGGCAGGGGGAGACAACCGTTTTGAAAGGTGCCTGCTGGTGGAATCTCTCAGGCAGCAGGTGGGAGAGCTACAGGAGCAGGTGGCCAGGCTGAGGAGCATTTGAGGCCATAAGGAATTCCTGGACAGTATTCCTGTGGCGTCCACTGAGGTCACGGTCCTAGGATGTGGGACTGCTGACCCGCCACTTATGGAGGAGGAGGTGGTGCAGGGTGATCACTGGCAGCTGGTTATTTCTGGCAGCAGGCAGTGTTCCATCCCTGCTCCTAACCCTCCCATTGTGTTGTTACATAACCGTTACACTATACTTTCTGCAGGAGACAAGGAGTCACCTCCCACAGTGGAGGAGACCAAGCCTTGCACTACCAAGGTTGAGCAGTCTCCTGCCACCACTGTGAGGGAGAAACGTAGGGTAGTGGTGGGTGGAGACTCTCTTCTGAGGGGAACGGAGGCGCCCATCTGTCGCCCTGACAGTTCATCTCGAGAGGTATGCTGTCTGCCAGGGGCCCGTATCCGAGATGTTACGGAAGCATTGTCGAGGATTATCCGGCCCTCTGACTACTACTCCATGCTACTCATCCATGTGGGCACAAATGATACTGCCAGGTGTAACACTGAGCGGATCAAGCGTGACTACAGGGCTTTGGGAGTACAGGTGAGGGAGTTTGGGGCGCAGGTGGTATTCTCTTCGATCCTTCCTGTCAAAGGTAGGGGCCCGGGCAGAGAGAGGTGCATCCTGGAGGTGAATGCCTGGCTGCGAAGATGGTGTCGCCAGGAGGGCTTCGGCTTCCTTGACCACAGGGTGCTCTTCCAGGAAGGACTGCTTGGCAGAGATGGAGTTCACCTTTCCAGGAGCGGGAAGGCCTTGTTTGGATACAGACTGGCTAACCTTGTGAGGAGGGCATTAAACTAGGTTCGACGGGGGCAGGTGAGCAAAGCCCACAGGTGGCTGAGTTTGGAAGCAGAGAGAGCAGGGGACACTGCCCCCCTAGTCTTTTAAAAGAAGAATGAACAGTTCTTCCCTGTTCATGTTTTTGTTTCTTCAACAGGGAAGAGTGGGCAGGTCTAAGACAAACATGCTGAGCACATTCTGTCAGGAAGGACAGACAGGGAAAAAAGGGAGGAGGGGTTGCCTTGTATATTAAAAATGTACACACTTGGACTGAAGTGGAGATGAACGTAGGAGATAGCTGTGTAGAGAGTCTCTGGGTTAAGCTAAAAGGGGTAAAAAACGAGGGTGATATCATGCTAGGAGTCTACTACAGGCCACCTAGCCAGGTGGAAGAGGTGGATGAGGCCTTTTTTAAACAATTAACAAAACTATCCAAAGCCCAAGATTTGGTGGTGATGGGGGACTTCAACTATCCAGACATATGTTGGGAAACTAACACAGCGAGGCACAGGCTATCCAATAAGTTTCTGGACTGCATTGGAGACAACTTTCTGTTTCAGAAGGTTGAAAAAGCTACCAGAGGAGAAGCTGTTCTGGATTTGGTTTTAACAAATAGGGAGGAACTAGTTGAGAACTTGAAAGTGGAAGACAGTATAGGGGACAGTGATCATGAAATAATAGAGTTCATGATCTTAAGGAAAGGTAGAAGGGAGACCAGCACAATTGAGGTTATGGATTTCAGGAAGGCAGATTTTGATAAGCTCAGAGAACTTGTAGGTAAGGTCCCATGGGAAGCAAGACTGAAGGGAAAAACAACTGAGGAGAGTTGGAAGTATTTCAAAGGGACGTTGTTAAGGGCCCAAAAGCAAACAATTCCGCTGTGTAGGAAAGATAGAAAATATGGCAAAAGACCAGCTTGGCTTAACAAGGAGATCTTGCATGATCTCAAAATAAAAAAGGAGTCATATAAAAAATGGAAACTAGGACAACTAACAAAGGATGAATATAGGCAAGCAACACGGGAATGCAGGGGCAAGATTAGAAAGGCAAAGGCACAAAATGAGATCAAACTAGCTACAGGCATAAAGGGAAACAAGAAGACCTTTTATAAATACATTAAAAGCAAGAGGAAGACCAAGGACAGGGTAGGCCCACTGCTTAGTGAGGAGGGAGAAGCAGTAACAGGGAACTTGGAAATGGCGGAGATGCTCAATGACTTCTTTGTTTCGGTCTTCACCGAGAAGTCTGGAGGTGTGCCTAACGTAGTGAATACAAGCAGAGAGAGGGTAAGTTTAGAAGATAGGATACACAAAGAACAAGTTAAAAATCACTTAGGAAAGTTAGATGTCAGCAAGTCACCAGGTCCTGATGAAATGCATCCCAGGATACTCAAGGAGCTGATAGAGGAGGTATCTGAGCCTTTAGCTATGATCTTTGAAAAATCATGGCAGACAGGGGAGATTCCAGAAGACTGGAAAAGGGCAAATATTGTGCCCATCTATAAAAAGGGGAATAAGAACAACCCAGGAAATTATAGACCGGTCAGTTTAACGTCTGTCCCAGGGAAGATAATGGAGCAGGTAATTAAGGAAATCATATGCAAACACTTGGAAGGTAATAAAGTGATAGGGAATAGCCAGCATGGGTTTGTGAAGAACAAGTCATGCCAAACTAATCTGATAGCTTTCTTTGATAGGATAACGAGCCTTGTGGATAAGGGAGAAGCGGTGGATGTCATATACCTAGACTTTAGTAAGGCATTTGATACGGTCTCGCATGATATTCTTATTGATAAACTAGGCAAATATAACTTAGATAGGGCCACGATAAGGTGGGTGCATAATTGGCTGGATAACCGTAGTCAGAGAGTTGTTGTTAACGGTTCTAAATCCTGCTGGAAAGGGATAACAAGTGGAGTTCCTCAAGGGTCTGTTTTGGGACCCGTACTGTTCAATATCTTCATCAATGATGTAGATATTGGGATAGAGAGTACGCTTATTAAGTTTGCGGATGATACCAAACTGGGTGGGGTTGCAACTTCTTTGGAGGATAGGGACATAATTCAAAATGACCTTAGCAAGTTAGAGAAATGGTCAGAGGTAAACAGGATGAGGTTTAATAAGGAGAAATGCAGAGTGCTCCACTTAGGAAGGAACAATCAGTTCCATACATACAAGATGGGAAGCGACTGTCTAGGAAGGAGCATGGCGGAAAGGGATCTAGGGGTCATAGTGGACCACAAGTTGAATATGAGTCAACAGTGTGATGCTGTTGCAAAAAAAGCAAATATGATTCTAGGTTGTATCAACAGGTGTGTTGTAAGCAAAACTCGTGAAGTCATTCTGCCGCTCTACTCTGTACTAGTTAGGCCTCAGCTGGAGTACTGTGTCCAGTTCTGGGTGCCACATTTCAAGAAAGATGTGGAGAAATTGGAAAGGGTACAGAGAAGAGCGACAAGAATGATTAAAGGTCTAGAGAGCATGACCTATGAAGCCAGGCTTCATGAACTGGGCTTGTTTAGTTTGGAAAAACGAAGATTAAGGGGGGACATGATAGTGGTTTTCAAATATCTAAAAGGGTGTCACAAGGAGGAAGGCGAAAATTTGTTCCTCTTGGTTTCTGAGGACAGGACAAGGAGTAATGGGCTTAAAGTGCAGCAGGGGAGGTTTAGATTGGACATTAGGAAAAAATTCCTAACTGTCAGGGTGGTCAAATATTGGAATAAATTGCCAAGGGAGGTGGTGGAACCTCCCTCTCTGGAGATATTTAAGAACAGGTTAGATAGACATCTGTCAGGGATGGTGTAGACGGAGCTTGGTTCTGCCTTGAGGGCGGGGGGCTGGACTCAATGACCTCTCGAGGTCCCTTCCAGTCCTATGATTCTGTGATTCTATGATTTCACATACTTTATTAATCATTATAGCACCTCCCACTGTGGACACTAAGCACCAAGATTTTAAAGTCTTTGCCACTGAGTGGTACATGGTACATCTGCAATAAGCTTATTCAGAAAATAAGTCAGACCCCAATTAAATGACTTCTCTCAACTACCCGACCATCAGGCCTTCCAGGAACCCTGCAAAGACCCCAACTCTATAAAAGTGGCCCTTCCTTCTTTTAACGTCCCTGTGGTTATCCAATTCAGAACAACTCTCCAGTGAATGTCCCCCTCTGCTGGTAATTGAACAGCGTTCCTATCTACTGAGCTGTCTGGGTCTTGGTTTTCAATTCTTGAGCATACTTTAGAGACCTGCCCATTACAGGTGCTTCCAAAAGTTGGGTGCCCAGGACTGGAGGCCTCCAACGCTTTTGAACGCTTAGGCCTTTATAAGGCACATGGCACAGTAGGATGCGAGTCATTTCAGATGCAAAACAAAAGGTACGGAACAGGGAAAAACAAGTCTGAAGGGTTGATCAGTACGTGACTAGACAGAAAATGCCATTGTAACTTGTAACCCAAAGGCTATTACTGGCTGCTCACTGAGTACCAAACTATGCAAAGTTCTCCTCATATTCAGGATCTGGCCCCGAATAAGGTAATTTGTAAGAGTGAGTAATATCAGAGGTCACTAAATATATGTAACTAGTTAGAACCTGCAGTTACAACTGCACAGAACTTCACTGATTTGAAGAAATCAAACAGCCCATGGGAATGGATTCACAACTTCTCCCCCACAAGAGGTAGCACCCTCCCTCCTCGGCATGGAATGGCTGGGATTTCAGTCATCTGTGGACCTCTCAGGTCCAAAGTCTGAGCTGCCACCACTTGGGCAAAAGAAGGAAGGCACTGTAGCGGATGGCTGTAACAAGGCATATCCTCCTGGGGTCAACCCCAAGGGTGAACTTATGCCACAAGCCAATGAGTTATATGCGCTCCAGGTGCAAGTCTCAACACCATATCCATCTGCCAGTATCTGCTCCAACCCTGGTGACCGCAAAATCCCTCCCTCCTGGAAGCCAGGCCTTCTCCCTGCTGCTAGTGAGATGCAGAACTGGAGACTTACTAAAGAGGTGAGTCTCGCAGGTTGGGCTGAAGCAGGCTGTAGCAATGGGCTTTTTGTGAGCCTTTAGCTCTCCATAACAGAAATCAGCTGACACATGAATCAGCTTTACAATTCCTCTTCTGCCGGCTGCGGCCAGGATATTGTGTTTTTTTTTCCGGCCGTCGTTAGTTACCAATGTCAGAGTTGTCCATGCAACAGAGAAAAACTCCTAGGACAAGGAGAGATGAGAAACTGTGAAACGTAACATTGGGGTACAGCAGCAAGGACACAGTTTAGACAGCAAGCTAGTGAACGAGAGAAAAGCTGCATTTTGAAACAACAGGGCTGATGAAACAGGCCATGCACATCAGATCAAACTTAGGGGAAGAAACACAAACTGTAAAAGCAGTTTTAACAGCGTACCAGCGGAGTAGCCAAGTTTTAGCTTGTCTTATTATTTTCAGGATCAACAAATGCCATTTTCCATCCGTACCCATCATTTTAAGGCCTGTCCAGGCTGGTTTTGTAATAGAGTGACAGACATTTTCTCCCGAGGGAACTCTGCACCAAAAACTTTAAAATGGTGTGCCCAGTATTTTAAAATTCTGCAAATGTTACTTGTCTAGAACAGTGATTCCCAATTGGTGCGAAGCGAAAGTAAGGGTTCCGTGAGGAGCCGGCACTCCCCCGTTCCCTCTTGAAGAGACTTTTTTTTTCCTCCTCGATGAAAAGCGGTGGCGGGGTTTTGTTTTTTTTCTTTGCTCAATGAAAAGCGGCGGCAGGACTTTTTTTTTTTTTTTTCTCAACAAATCGTGAGGCAACCCTAGGGGTTCCGTGGCCAACTAAAATTGGGAAACACTGGTCTAGAGAGACAAGGGGAGGGACGGATATGATAGAGGTCTATAAAATCATGACTGGTGAGGAGAAAGTGAATAAGGAAAAGTTATTGACTTGTTCCCATAAGAACTAGGGGTTACCAAATGAAATGAATAGGCAGCAGGTTTAAAACAAAAAAAAGGAAGTTTTTCTTCACGCAGAGCATGGTTGGCCTGTGGAACTCCTTGCCAGAGGATGTGGTGAGGACTAGGACTTTAACAGGGTTCAAAATAGAGCTAGATTGATTCATGGAGGTTAGGTCCATCAATGGCTATTAGCCAGAATGGGTAGGAATGGTGTCCCTAGCCTCTATTTGTCAGAGGCCAGAAACTCGTGTCCCTACCTCCGCAGCCACTTTATACTTTTTCAGCACTATTCCAGTCTCGCAGTCGATGAGACAAACCGATTCCCCTCCACAGGTGGCCATGGTTCTGGAGGTGCTCATGACAGGGTCTGAAAGAAAATCCAGGGCTGGTAGTTAGACCACTGCTCATTGCACTAACCAGCACCATCTGCCATCATCCAGCCAACATTCTGAGTCTCCGTTACCTCAGACTCCCGGTCCATGGGGCAATGGAGCTATTCTGTGGGCTGGCGTGGCTAGGAAGTGCATCTGCCACGAAACTGATGCACGCAAGCGACAAGAGAATCCTGATCTAACTGGAGTCAGAATATGAGCAGCTAGCAGTGGAAACTATGGCCTGAGTGTGGCAGGATTTAATGCCTGAGTCAGGTGGGCATCATTCCCCCCAGACCCTGAGCCAAAGGGCTTGGGAGTCGTTTTGTGAAGCCTGCCACCTGCAAAGAGCTCCCCACGTGCCTTTGAGCAAGCTCACCTTTCCTCGTCCCACAGTCCAACGGGGGCTCAAAGACGCAGGACCAGAGCTGGGTTTTAAAATCCTCTCGGCTATTGCCTTTGCTGTGACACTGAAGAAAATGCAGTGGCTCCAAACTGATTGCATCCTGCAATACACTTCACAGTTAGAAAACGTGCACCAGTAACGGGAACAGAAGAAGCCTCCTACTCCCACATCTTATTGACACAGAACCCCAGGGGCTAGATCAGGGGTCTCAAACTCCCGGCCTGTGGGTCATCACCGGCCGGAGAAATTGCACAGTCTGGACACGGTTTGAAGCTCTAGGGGGTAGAAGGGAGGCTGGCGAAGCAGGAGCAGCTGGGGTTCCCCACATTCCTTGTGCCAGGGCCCCCGGTAATCCCAGGGCAGCTCCCTAAGCAGACAGGATGTTATGGGGGGAGAGGGTGGGGCAATGGCAGGAAGGGATGAGGTTTGGGGAATGGTAACTGACAGCCCTTCCCTGCACCCCCCAGCCCGCTGGAACTTCTGGGCCAGATTGTACAATTGCTCCAGCCAGGAATGTCCTGCGGGTTGGGAGTTTGAGACCCCTGGACTAGACCAAAAGATAGATGGATCTTTTATTCTTCTCCACTCTTGTAGGGCATCCTACAACCTCAAACCTGGCTGCTAACCCTCTCTCTAGCTGGGCCATTCTTGTTCCCAAGTCCTTAATACCATCTGGACATGACGTGTTCCATGCAGCAAAGTATTCTCTTGGGTAGCCTGGCTATGGTTCCTTAGGGTTTGGAGACAAGGGCTCTGCTCCTTTGCTCTATCCAAGCTGGCTGGAAAGGTGGCTTTATGCCACAATTATGCGCCCCTGAGCCTGAGACTGGCTGAGCAATGGGCCGGTTCCTGCTGTATGCTAGAGCAGGTTCAGGACTGCTTTCTGTCCAGATGCCTGTGGAAGCAAAGGACTGCTCTACTCGGCAGGGGTCAGTGGGGAACACAGGAAGAGGGGAGGCATTGGAGCCCCCCCGCAACTGAGAGGGGCGACTGAAGTAACAGGAAGCACTGGGCAGTGTCCTCGGGGCAAGAGCCGCCCAAAACAATCAAGAATTCTTTACAGGGCTCCGTCCACAAAAGCTTTTCACTCAGGTACTGTGACAAATCTGCCAATTTGACAGTAACTTTAGAAACGAAATTCTGACACGCTGGAGACTTTGCACCACCGGCACAGGGATTTCTCCCCCCTTGCTGCCTTTCCTGCTAAGCCCTGGGAGCTGAGCACGTACACTGATCCCCCATCGGGAATGAATCAGTCTCAGATCCATGGAGTTCAAGGCCAGAAGGGGCCATTAGATCATCTAGTCTCACCTCCTGTGTTGACCTTTGTAATTTGTGTCTGGGAAAAGCAAATCTTCCAGAAAGGCACCAGTCTTGCTCTGCAGTCATCAAGAGATGGAGATCACTTTTAGGGCCCGGTCACTTCCTTTTTCTTTTGCTCAACAAGTTTTGCTGCTATTTTTGGGGGGCAGGGGGCACGAGGGTTTCTCAAAAATCAAAAACCACTGATCTAATCTGACGCCCCATGTAACACAGACCATTGTGTTTTACCCCCATACTGAATCCAAGAACTTGAGATAAAACAAAACAGTCCAATTTATTAAGTGGGGTGTACCCAAACGATCCCAGCAGGCAATCCACAGACCACGCTGCGGAGGAAAACCCAAGCTCTGGGCCCCTCTGGCAGGGTGAACAAAAACCAAAGATTAAAAAAAAAATCAGAACTTTTACATTTAAATCTTATTTTTTAAAATATACACGCAATGCCGTTTTTATTTCAAAATAAACTTACAGTTAGAAGAGATTATTTAAATCAAGGTTTCTTGGCTGCTGGCTTGAATTAGATTCAAATTGGTGATTTAAATCTCCTTTGCTATTTGCCAGGGGAAATCCCTTGCCAGCCCTAAACCTAGTGATCAGTCTGACTCTGAGAGTGCGAGCACGACACAGCAGCCAAACACATAGGAAAGAGGATTGTCTGTACCGCTTCACAGCTCTGGGTCACCTCAGCCAGTGCCCTGTCTCCAGCTGAGGCCAAACCCTTGTGCTTCAGAGAAAAGCAATACCCACCCCTGAACAGCTAGTCAGCTGGGGTCTGGGAATCTGAGAGGGTTACTGAAATGCCTGGAGAGAGCAGAACCTTCCCGTCCCCATCCCAACTTGGATCCTCTCTGCAACCCCAAAAGAGGCTGAGCAGTGCACCTTGTCATCTAGGTCCTTGACCGGAGATATGCTCAGGCCCCTCTTGTCCTGCTCCTGGCTTGGCTCCTCTGTGAGCTGGCTGGATCGTCTGTGGCTCTGTCCTTTTGCAAGCTGCTCTCCATTCCTGTGAGTCTCTTCTGCCCCCTTTGCTGGCTGGTTCGATGCTCTTGGCGTATCGGGAGTCAGGTCATCCCGTGAAGGACTGGACTTTCTGGGGCTAAGCACAACCTCCTCCTCCAGGTTACACTGGGACCGGGGTCTTTTGCTTGCAGATCCCACTGCTGAGTGATTCCCTCTTCTCTTGCTGGGGATTAATGTGACCTAGCAAAGATACTGGCAATGTACTGGGTTGCTTCTTGCATCACCCAGACTACAGACAGCTTAGAATTCAGCGAAAGTCTCTTAAATGCCCAGAGACCGGGCTCCTAAGTCAGACAGGCCCTCTTCTGCAGAGGTCCCCCAGGCCACCACACTGCAGCTGATTGGAGAACAATATGCAGGGCCCAATTCTCCTCTCGCGTCACCTGTGTCATGCGGCTGACCCCAGTGGTGCTAATTCTGATTCACACGAGGATAAGGAACAGCCCAGTCAAAGAATTTAAGAGCAGTGAGAGGGCAACCTCAAAACCTGTGCCACCTCAGTTTCTTCCTTTCCCCGTGGAAGCGGAAGGAGCAGGACATTATCCAGCCAATATTCTGGGTCTCCTACGAGAGTCAGAGTCTTTTGCATCTGGGATAATGACCCAACCTTCCCATTCCTGGGAAAATCTGAAGGTGCCGCCAGCTTGCAAGGTTTGTTAGAACAGCCTAAAACCCGAGATGCTGCCTGAGTTACAGAAGGAAACTTTTTCAACAGTGTTTTGAATTAATAAGAAAATCAGTTTTTAAAAGTTAACAAAATCAACCCCCCACCTCTGTCAATTAGGATTTCTGAAAGCCTGCCTGCAGCTGCTGTGTGCCATCCCAGAGGTGGCTGCATTTTAGTGGTGGATGAAGCAATCCCTGTATTTGCTGACAGGCAACCTGGTCCAGTGGTCTTGGACACCGGCTGAGGAGTCGGTGTAGCTGGGGTCTATTCCTGTTCTGTCACTACCCTCTTGTGCCTTTATTCCCCTCATACCCTTTGTCTTATTTCTGCTCTTTGAAGCATGGACAGTCTCTCACGCTATAGACGTACGTCACCAATCACGATGGGGCCTTGATTGTAGGCTGGTAACTCCAGGCACTATCCCAATACAAACAGTTAATAGCAGCATTCATTTTGCATAGGGCTTTGCACAGATCCTTCTGGATGAAAGTAAAAACATACATGGAATGAACTCCCTTTACCTCCTTGATGAGGCTGCCACTGAATCTGCTCAGACCTCCTGGCTAGGGGATCCTCAGCAGAGAAATACTCTACTTGCAGGCAGTTTTGTAACATGCGGATGGTAAAGCTGGCCTTGGTGCAATGTGTAAAACCCAGCTGGAAAAGAGCAGCCGCTACCCTTCCATGCAGGTCTCTTGCTTAAAAATCAAGAGCATCTCACTTCAAACTACCCGTAGAGCCCTTACCTGTGCAATATCATCTCCCACCTCCCTGGGGGTTTCTGGAGTCTCCTCCTCATTATCTTCCATCCTGTCTGGCAGTTCAAGATTGGTGTTCTCTTCCTGTCCCACCAGGGCTGCCAACAACTCCTCGGCGATCATTTTCACCTAGCATCACAAGGGGAATTTAAAAGGCGTCACTCCACAGAGGACACAACGGGAACATCCCGGCTCAGATGTGCCCTCACAGGTTTGGGGGTTGGCGTTTTTTGAGGGGAGGTGTCTGGCTTTTGCTATTATGGGGGATGTACTTCCAGGCTGGTGCAAGGACCTAGGCTGAGAGCTGTGGTGACCGAAGCCCTCTCTTTGGTCACAGAATTCGCTCAGTATGGGAGGCAGCAGTGCAAGATGCCTCGTGCTGCCACTCTCCTGGGCCTCATTCCTGACCGGGAGGAACCACTGCTAGGAGATTGGAATTTGGCCTCATTCAGTCTACAGCCTCTCTCTGGAGGCTGCCAGCAACGAGGATCAATTAGGGTAGTTTAAAGATGGCTCTTCTCACAGTCAGAGGAGGGACCAGGCGTGTGGCAACAGTGAGCCCCATACAAATACTGGTGACACAATGAAAAAACTGCCAATTGCCACCAGTTATTAGCCAAAGGCCAGTGTGTGAGAGCAATGACTGCGACTCAGCTACTGAATGGAGCACCTGGATACTGTGAATAGCAAGTGATGGATCTGGATGACCCGAGGTAAGGGGCAGAAATGAGAGATTGGGGTGAATTTTCTGCATGAGCACAGTGGAGTTCTGCAACATGAGGTGGAATACAAGCCTGTCTGGCTGCAATCTTAACCTCCACGTACGACTTCTGCCAATACGTGTTGGGTTTTACTGAGGGGGGGTATGTCTGTGCCACATGGTCCGAGCTCCCCGCTCTGTTACTGAGGCCAGGGGGGTCATCTGAGGAAGGAAGGCAAAAGCAACAAAGCTAGAGCGGACGGAAGCAGAGGGTGCATGCAATTAAAACCCTCCTCCCAAACCAAAGGGTCTCTCTTCCTCTGGCAGTGTGCACACAGCTTTCGCTTTAATGGGCTGTGAAGACACAGTGGTTGCCTTTAACATCATTTGTCACTTGCACGTACGACTATTCCTAATACTCAATCACGTCAGCTACATCTACACAGGCATGATTTTCCAGAAATGCTTTTAACGGAAAAGTTTTCCGTTAAAAGCATTTTTGGAAAAGCACATCTAGATTGGCACGGACGTTTTTCCGCAAAAGCAATTTTTGCGGAAAAGTGTCCGTGGCCAATCTAGATTCGCTTTTCCGCAAAAAAGACCCCATACTTTTTTGCGGAAAACAGTACTATGCTGTCTACACTGGCCCTTTTGTGCAAAAGTCTTTCGGGAAAAGACTTTTGCCCGAACGGGAGCAGCATAGTATTTCCGGAAAAGCACTGATGATTTTACATGAGATCATTAGTGCTTTTCTGGAAATTCAAGCGGCCAGTGTAGACAGCTGGCAAGTTTTTCTAAAAAATCAGATGATTTTGCGGAAAAACTTGCCAGTCTAGATACAGCCTACAAGTATCTTGACGCTGGTGAGCAGAAAACAAAGACAGGATAGCCCCCCACGGCATCCAGAATGGAATTTACTGCCGCTGCCCATGTAACACCTACAGCTAATTAGCAATGAAAACCAAAGGCGGATGTTGTCATTTGCAGGAGCCCCCGACCACCAATCATTTCAGCAGCTTAATGTTACGGGGGCACAAAATGAAGCTGCAGAATCCTGGTTTTGGGCAACTCAGAAAAAGATGAGACGCTTACCCTCCATCGGGTAAATTCACTGAGGGAGCTGGGTCCGTAGATGACGTGGGTTTGTGCAGACTTCAAAAACTTTTTCTTGATGAACTTCACATGCTCGACTGAATACTTCTCAGGGAGTTGGCTTCGGAAATTCTTCTCCCAGTGGGCTTTGACCTAGGTAGAGAGATTTGGTTTACTGAGCTGGATATGTCACGGAAATCATAACGCTCCCTAGTACAACCCTTCCAGAAATGGCCAACCCCGGAGCTCAGACAGGGCTCTGTTTGGCCTTTATTTGATCAGGTGCTGATATAATGATCTCAGCAACTTTGGGCGGGGAGGGAAGGAGGGTTTGTGAACACATTTTGCGTTTGTGTTTTTATTTTAAAGGATTCATGTGTGTTAGAAAGAGGCGCCCTGGAAGCACCTGCAAATAAAGGATACATTTGCATAGAACCTTTACTCAAAAAAGGAATAGGTAGGCAGCAGGTTTAATTAAAACAAACCAAAGGAAGTTTTTCTTCATGCAGTGCACAGCCAACCTGTGGAACTCCTTGACAGAGGATGTTACAAAGACCAGGATTTTAACAGGGTTCAAAAATGAACTAGATAAATTCATGGAGGCTAGGTCCATCAATGGCAATCAGCCAGGATGGGAAGGAATGGTGTCCCTAGCCTATATTTGTCAGAGGCCAGACATGGTTGACAAGAGAAGGATCACTTGATAATTCCCTGTTCTGTTCCCTCCCTTTTGGGCATCTGGTATCGGCCACTGTCAGCAGACAGGATACTGGGCTAGATGGACCTTTGGTCGGGCCATTCTTATGTTCTAAGGACTCCAAACTGCTTTACAAACCCTAGTGCCAATTCTGCAGACTCTTACACACTACTATATTTATTCATGTGAGTAGCTACGCTGAATATATTTACAAACGTTTTATACGAGCTGGCAGAGTTAGCACCTTTATGCATTACACACTGTATCAATGGTACACATGCAGGAATTACATCACTCAGTGCATTTGCATCTGAGGTAGGCAGGTCGCAGCTGCATTCACAGTAACTCTGCATAACAATGGAAGAGAAGATGTTCTGACTACAGCCACCAGAGCAAACAGAAATACCATACAACATTCAGTGTCTTTTCAGAGCATTGAAACTGCTTGTGGAATTGTCTACACTGGCAAGTTTTGTCGCCAAAACCTGCCTTTTGGTGACAAAACAGAGAGGCTACGTCTACACTGGCCCCTTCTTCGGAAGAGGCATGCTAATTTAGAACTTTGGAATAGGGAAATCCGCGGGGGATTTAAATATCCCCCACGGGATTTAAATAAACATGGCCGCCGCTTTTTTTCCCGGCTTGGGGAAAAGCCGGAAAAGAGCGTCCAGACTGGCGCGATCCTCCGGAATAAAGCCCTATTTCAGAGGATCTCTTATTCCTACTTGAAAGAAGGAATAAGAGATCCTCCGGAATAGGGCTTTATTCCGGAGGATCGCGCCAGTCTGGACGCTCTTTTCCGGCTTTTCCCCAAGCCGGGGAAAAAAGCGGCGGCCATGTTTATTTAAATCCCGCGGGGGATATTTAAATCCCCCGCGGATTTCCCTATTCCAAAGTTCTAAATTAGCATGCCTCTTCCGAAGAAGGGGCCAGTGCAGACGTAGCCAGAGCGTTTACACTGCAGTGCGGCTTTTGTCGGGAAAAACACCCAGTTTTGGAAACAAAATCTTCCACCCCAGTGAGATACTTGTCTTGTCCCCTCCCTTTATTGTCAACAAAGAGCCAATGTGGACGCTGCTGTTTGTTTTGTTGAGAAAACTGGCTTCCACCAGTATCCTACAATACCTGCCCTGGTGGCTGTGCTCAGTGTTTTGTGATCTCTGCTGCTTGGCAGGCATGTGTCCCTCCCCTTTCAAAGCTCTGGGAAGTGACTGACAGCTGAGCCAGCTGCTCCCTTTGGGAAACAAAGAGCAAATCATTGGAGTGCTTCTATTCTGCCCTTCTAGGAACACAGTGGCAAGCAGACAGCTGCTGTAGGGGGAGGGGTGGAGAGACGGCTGTACTGCTTTGACATTCCTCAGCATGGAGAGCTCACAGAACTACGAGGGAATCCAAGAAGTGCAGGGATCAGTTCTGCCTTCCCACAACACTGCACTGCAGGATGCTTACCTACATTCCTTTGCTCTGCCTGTTGACAGGGGTGCTAAAAATGTGGCCAGGAAATGTTGACAATGGGAGGCAGAAAAACAGGTTTGACTGTTTTTCCACTTGTAGAGACTTTTGCATGTCGACAGCACTTTTGCTGCCAACCTTACCAGTGTAGACACAGCCTGTATCAGGAAGCCTGCCTATTAGAAGCCTGAGGCCCAGATCTCTAGTCCCTTTCACGTTGTGAATCTCTGCACCACAGCTAATGTAGGTGAGTGTGACAAGTGCCAGCTTGAGAATGTTCTATAAATGGCAAAACTAATATTACAAAACCACTATTTTTGTTGTAGAATGTTATCCATACACACAGCCTCAAAATGCTGTACAGGGAGAATCGGCCAAAGGCAAGAAAAGATGTTTTGGCAAGACTCAGAGGAAGAAAGAGTTCCAAACAAATGGCTCAGAGCTAGTGTTAGAGTAAATCTTAGTCTGTGTATGTGCTGCAGAAAGAGAGATTATTAGTTTGAGGCCAATCTTGCAGAGCCTGAGGCTGCATCTAGATTGCATCCCTCTTTCGACAGAGGGATGTAAATTAGGCACTTCGAAATTGCAAATGAAGCCAGGATTTGAATTTCCCGCTCTTCATTTGCATAATCACATTATGGAGCTCTTTCGAAAAAGCACTATTTTGAAAGTAAAACCGCGTTCTTGACACGGTTCTTTCGAAAAGGGAAGGCTTTTTCGAAAGATCCTGTAAACCTATACCAATCTGGTATAGAAATTGGCCCCCCTCATCCAGCCTCCCCTGCTCCCCCACCCCCTGCCCTGTGTCCAAACCACTCTATACTCCATCCCTTACCTGCCCCCCAGGATCCTCTCCATTGAACCTCCCTACTCCCTTCCCCCTTAGGACTCCCAGCCCCTATCCAAGCTTCCGTGCCCCACCTCCCTGGAATCCTCACTCCTTGCCCGTGTTGCTGGGGCTGGGAGCGCAGCAACCGGCCTGGGGGAATTGTGGGGGAGGGCCCAGGGGCCAACTTCCCCTTCTCAACCTGCTGCCCAGGAAGTGGGTTGGCTCCCTCCAGCCAGGCTTGCCTGACCCCAGTCCCTGGCCGGAGCTCAGGGGCTGGACCGAAGGGTCCAATGGGCCTGATATGCCCCCCAAGCTGTAATTTGCCCCCTCTGATCTTGGGAAAGATCCTAGGTTTACAGGATCTTTCAAAAAAGCCTCCCCTTTTCGAAAGAACCGCATCTAGACACGGTTTTACTTTAGAAAGAGCGCTTTTTTGAAAGAGTGCCATATCGTGATTATGCAAATGAAGCGTGGGAAATTCAAATCCCAGCTTCATTTGCAATTTCGAAGTGCCTAATTTACATCCCTCTGTTGAAAGAGGGACGTAATCTAGATGTATCCTGATTCTGGAGCTAGCTAAGAACTAGTTCAAACCATGGTGTATGTTAGAGGAATCCTGTGGTTTAGCCACCAACTGGGCTGTTATGTCAACTCCTGAGGCTCCTCTAACATGGCAGTTCTTGATTAAGAGTACACATAACTCTGGGGATACATAGATATCTTTCGGAGGTAAATCAACTCAGTCAGATATTTGCCTTGTTTTACAACCGGCTACATAGAAAACACTAATGCAGTCAGTACAATCTAAAATCTCAAACAGTGACTTGCTTATTCTGCTCTGTCATCTCATTTTGACTGAGATGTCAGGACAAAATTTAAATAATGTATTGATTTAATAATTATATGGTAAAAATGAAAAGGTCTGCAATTTCTGAGTACTAGTGTGCTGGGACACATTTGTATTTTAAGTTTGATTTGGTAGCAGTAGGGATGCAACAGCGTAACCGGTTAAACAGTTAACCCCAGGGAGCCGGCTATGCTTTGGGCTCTACAGTATAAAGCAGTATACTGCAGAGCCTGGAGCATATAACGGCTAAGATTTTTCACAGTTACATGGTTACCTAATTAACTGCTTTTTAACATCCCTAATAGCACGTGGTTTTTAAGGGAGGTGGAACTTGGGGATAAGCCAGACAAACCAGACTCCTGAAAGGGGAGCAGTAGTCTGGAAAGACTGAGAACCCCACACTTCTGAGTTGCTGCAGGAGCCCAGAAAAACTGAAGATCCCGAACACACATGGTCTCATTTATTACCAACTGCTAAGAAATCTAATACAGGGCTGTCAAATGTCAAAGCCCTCCCACACAAGGGGAATTCCGGGTGGAAAGACCCGCCAGCTTTGCAGCCTCTATACGCCAGGAGAGCTGGTACACAGGTGCTACCTGAAAGCCCAGAATCGGGGCCCATGTCTTGTTGTGCAGAGCATGCTGGTTTAAACTGAAGGCAGTAGGTGGTCATGAGGTGAGCATAAGGAGACTAATGAAAACCAGGAGAGCAATCACGAATTGGTTTCGGAGAACAGGAGGCCAATGAAGGGGACGTTCAAGTCTTGACAAGGACTGTTCACAATGTAGATGGAACTGTGCTACTGCATTTAAACATGTCAGCTGCCAGCACAGTTTCAACAGTGAAGCAGAGGACAGGGTCAGAGGAGTTAACCTGAATATTGCATTGTATCGCCAGTGGAACCTGAGTTACGAACACCAGTTTTAAAAAAAAAAGTTCACAAAAGATTCAGGGGAGTAGCCATGTTAGTCTCTTTCAACAGAAACAACAAGGAGTCCTGTGCAGCACCTTAAAGACAAAAAACTTTATTTGGGTAAAAGCTTTCGTGTGCTGGAGCTCACTTCATCAGACGCATGATCATGTTCCCACCTGGTGGTCCATGCATCTAATGAAGTGGGCTCCAGTTCACAAAAACTTATGCCTAAATAAACTTGTTAATCTTTAAGGTGCCACAGGAGTCCTCGCTATTTTATTTTTTTAATTTAACAAAGTAAGGACATTGTTTCTGTGCTTGTTTCATTTAAATTAAGATGGTTAAAAGCAGCCTTTTCGTCTGTACAGCAAAATTGCAAAACTATCTTTAGTCACTGTTCAGTTGTAAACTTCTGAAAGAACTAAAAAGTTTTGTTCAGAGTTACGAACAGCCTCCATTCCTGAGGCTTTCGTAACTCTGAGGTTTTACTGTAAGTGTAAGCTATTCCTTAGGCAAGCCCATGGAAACATTACGTCTCTTACCTTGCTGGTCAGCTCTCGGCTGTTGACAATTCTCACATGATTAGCTAATTTGGTGATATCCTTGCCATTGAGAAGCCGAAGATTTTGTAGAAGAAACATAACCTTATAGTCGTCATTGGTCTAGGAAACAGATCGAACGTTTGCATTATGGCAGCATGGGCACAATAGTCGCTTGAACAAATAAACATTCGTTTGCTGAGTTTTAAATTACAAATCCAGCAGGAAGGAACTGAATATGTTTATTCCACAAAGGGCATTTAAGAAAATAATTTAGCACCATTCAAGACTTTCAGATTAAACGTGCTCTGTTTACAAGTAAAACTCTTGTCCTGACAGCCAGCCCTGCAAACTCAAACTGGGCTCTGAGAGTCAAGTCAAGCTCTTTCTTGTTCCTGCATCGCCAGGAGTAAAATCTCAGCTAGCCCAGGGAGCACTGTGCAGCATGATGGAGGGCAAAATTTGCTTCTGCATGCAGAACTCAGTTAACTTTTCTATTGATGACCCCCCTTCCCACAGCTGTGGCAAGTCTGCGGCGTTATGTGGCGCACAAGGGGGTTTTGCGGCCCCTTTCGCACTACCATGGCACTTTCCATCTTCTAAGCTCTGCAGAGGAGTCATGTTAGAATACCCTGCACAAGCAGCCCTGCGGGGGCAGCTTCCTGGAGCCGGCCTAGTGGCTAGAGCACTGCTCCAAGACAAAGGAGACTTAGCATTGCCACTGGCATCCTGGGTAACTGTGGGCCCTCTGTGTGCCTCAGTAGCCTCATCTGTACAACAGGGATAATGCTACTGACCTTCTTTGTAAAGCACTTTGAGATCTATGGCTGAAGAGTGCTACACAAGGTACTATTATTATTTACTTCCCGGTCAATATGCTGCTTATCATGTAAGGATGGAAACTATATCACTCACGGTCAAATACACATTGTTTTCATAGCTTAGCTCCTCCAGCAGCGGGAACTGCTTCAAGGCAGTCACGTCTTCCAGTTGGTTGTTACTGCAGTTTAGGATACGCAGGCCTGGCAGGCTCAAATTAGCCGGAAGCCTGTCCAACGCATTATCAGAGAGATCGAGATTTTGCAGATGTCTCAGACGTGAAAACAACCGTGGTTCTAAGTCTCCAGTCTTTAACTGCAACTTGGATAAACTGAAACAAAACCAAAGCAAAACACGTGCCATTTCCAGTTCACCCAAAGGTAAAGACAAAGGTAAACATATTGACCTTTTAAAGGATATAAAGTTTCATCCTGTTGTAAAGCTTGCTGAGCAAATCTATCTGTGCTTAGACTGCCAGAAAGCCTTTGACAAGGTCCCTCACCAAAGACTCTTAAACAAAGTAAGATGTCATGGGATAAGAGGGAAGGTCCTCTCATGGGCTGTTTACTGGTTAAAAGACAGGAAACAAAGGGAAGGAATAAATGATCAGTTTTCAGAACAGAGAGAAGTAACTAGTGGTGTCCCGCATGGGTCTGTACTGGGAGCAATCCTATTCAATATACTCATGAATGATTTGGAGAAAGGGGTAAACCATGAGGTGGCAAAACTTGCAGATAATACTAAATTGCTCAAGACAGTTAAGTTCAAAGCAGACTGTGAAGAGCTTTGAAAGGATCTCACAAAACTAGGTGACTGGGCAATGAAACGGCAGATGAATTTTAATGTTGGAAAACATAATCCCAACTATACATATAAAATGATAACAGCTAATTCAGTGCCTACTACTCAAGAGAGAGATCTTGGAGTCATTGTGGACAGCACGCAATGTGCAGCCCCAGTCAAAAAAGCAAACAAAATGTTAGGAATCATTTAAAAGGGATAGAATAAGACAGAGAATATTGTATTGCCACTGTATAAATCCATGGTACACCCACATCTTGAATACTGAGTACAGATGCAGTCGCATCATCTCAAAAAGATATTTGGCATTGGAAAAAGTTCAGAAAGGGGCAACAAAAATGACTAGGGGAATGGAACAGCTGTCATGTGAGGAGAGATTAATAAGACTGGGATTTTTGGATTTAGAAAAGAGGAGACTAAGAGGGGATATGATAGAGGTCTATAAAATCATAACTGGTATGGAGAAAGTGAATAAGAAAAAGTTCTTTACTTACTCCCATAACACAAGAACTATGAGTCACCAAATGAAATGAATAGGTAGTGGGTTTTAAACAAACAAAAGGAAGTTTTTCTTCACACAATGCACAGTCAACCTGTGGAACTCCTTGCCAAAGGATGTTGTGAAGATCAGGATTTTCACAGGGTTCAAAAAAGAACTAGATACATTCACGGAGGATAAGTCCATCAATGGCCATTAGTCAAGATGGGGAGGAATGGTGTCCCTAACCTCTGTGTGTCAGAAGCTGGGAATGTGCAACAGCGGATGGATCACTTGATGATTGCCTGTTCTGTTCATTCCCTCTGGGGCACATGGAAATGGCCACTGTTGGAGGACAGGATACTGGGCAAAATGGAGCATTGGTCTAACCCAGCATGGTCATTCTTATATTTTTATGATCCTACAGACACCAACTTTTGAATGTAGCATTACAGGGTTCAAACACAAATGTGAAGATGACAAGAAGGGAGAATAGGTAAATGCATTGCTTTTTTTTGTGATGGTACGCCCCAGGACGGCGTACCGGCACCTATTTTCCCATCTTACTTTAATTGAATTCCAGGGCAGCTTGGTTCCCAACAGAAGCCCGCTCGGGACACGGCTCTTAAAGGGGCATTTCAGCACCAGCACAGGACTTTTTTTTTTTTTTGGCTCAACAAGTTTGAGCCTGGAGTACCGGCACCTTTTTTCTTACAAAAAAAGCACTGGCTAAATGTAACTTCAAGTTTGGTGGGTGAGCAGTAACTATGGCTAACATCTACAGGCAAAACTTCCACCTGTTACTTAATGAGAAGACACAGGTTGAACCTCTCTAGTCTGGCACAATCAGGACCTGACTGGTATTGAATCAGAGAATTTACCGAACCACGAGAGGTCAATATTGTCTAGTAGCATTACCAACACTTCCCTCGCTTACTAGAGATATGTCAGTATACACGTTTAAATGGTTAATGGATAAGCCTGGACTCATTGGTTAACCTTCATGGTTATACGCAAGAGAGTGGGCGGAGGGGGTGTAGAGCAGAGCAGGCTAGAGCCAGTGCTTGCGGGGAGCCTGCTTTTAAGCAGGCTCCCTGTGAGCACCAGCTCCCGGGGAGCTGCCCCACCCCCCACTGCTGCCTCTGATACAGCTGCTGCCTGTCCCCTTCCTCCCTGCAGCTTAAAATCTGGCACCCTCCATCCGCTGTGTATAAAACGTATTACAAATTTACCAAAAAAAATTAATGATAACAATTATTATTGTAGTGACTTTGATGCTGAATTCTTTGAATTTACATCTTTCAGACTTTGCACTTTACTTCTGGAACACTATTTCCAAAAGAGAACTAACATAACAGAGTTCCTTTCTCAACAGACTGGCTGTGTCTACACTGGGCCACTTATTCCAGAAAAGCAGCTGCTTTTCCGGAATAAGCTGCGAGCTGTCTACACTGGCTGCTTGCTTTTCCGGAAAAGCAATGACGATCTACTGTAAAATTGTCAGTGTTTTTCCGGAAAAACTATGCTGCTCCCATTCGGGCAAAAGTCCTTTTCCGGAAAAACTGTTCTGGAAAAGGGCCAGTGTAGACAGCACAGTAGTCTTTTCCGCAAAAAAGCCCCGATCTGCGGAAAAGCGCATCTACATTGGCCACGGACGCTTTTCCAGAAAAAGTGCTTTTCCGGAAAAGCATCCTGCCAATGTAGACGCGCTTTTTCCGGAAATACTTATAACGGAAAACTGTTTCATTTTAAGCATTTCCGGAAAAGGGTGCCAGTGTAGACGTAGCCACTGTGTCTGGTGTCTCTATGTACATCACGTATACACGACAGTCATACCCACTGGATACACTTATGTTTTTCATGCACCTCAAACGACTAAGCCATCTTGCCTGGAATTACTTCTGACATCCCCAGTGCCTGGGCAGTTTTCAAACAACTGACTGACACCCCATCTCCCCCCCCCCATGACATCTACTTTCAATCAATCAATCAATCAATCAATCAAAATCAATCAATCAATCAATCAAAGGTGCTACAAAAGTGTTCTCCCCATGTGGAATTCCACTTCTTATGACAGTCTGAGGCACAGAAAGGACAGAATCATATTCTGGAACAGGCAGAGGTTTAAAGTAGTCATGAGCATTTAGTCCTTGTGACAGGGCGTTTGCCCTGCACTGGCCCTCTAAGGGCAAAACCCCAGTCCTGAATGAGGGCTGTGAGCAAAGCCCCAGCTGAGGCAGTTCTGGTTAATGAGGGCCCAGCTGGGGGCTATATAAAGGACTCCTGGAGGGCAGGGGAGAGAGCAGTAGAGACCTGACTACCAGAAAAACTGGAGGCTACCTGGAGATAGAGCCATGCTGGGGAAGGCAGGCCGGGCTGGGGAGGCTCTAACTAAGCAAGCTCCCAGGCTGTAGGACCTGAAGCAAGGCCTGAAGGGGCAGCCATGGTAGGCAGGGGCAGCAGGTCCACATCCCTTTGCCAGTAATGAGTGGCCATTACAGACTGCAGTTTGTCACTGAGGCAAGGTGGGTACAGGGGAACTGGGTGTTCCCTGAGAGGAGAACAGGGTGCCCTGGGCTATGTCTACACAGCTTCCCTCTTCTGCAAAAGCCTATGGAAATGAAGTGTGGATTAGCATATTGCTGTGATTCATTTGCATAATTAATTAGGAGCTGTTTTTGTGCAAGAGGTTTTTGCGCAAAAAGGCGCCATCTACACAGTGCCTTTTTGTGCAAAAAAACCCCTCTTGCTTAAGAGTCGTTCTTCCTCATTTTTCAGGAAGAACGGCTCTTACGCAAGAGGGGCTTTTTGTGTGAAAACTGCTCCTAATTATGCAAATGAAGTATGGCAATATGCTAATCCATGCTTCATTTGCATAGGCTTTTGCAGACGAGGGAAGCTCTGTAGACAGAGCATCAGGGAGGAGAGATCCCAGGAGTGAAAGCAGGATTAACATCAACCCCTGGGAGGGAGAGGGACTCAGACACTGGAGTGGGCACTGCTGGAGGGCAGTGTCCTGAAGAGGAGGACGAAGAGCAACACGGGGAGACACCACCTTAGAGGGAGGTGTCTAGCGAGCCAAACAAGCTAATTCCCAGGACTGTGGGCTGGAGGTGCTATGGTGATGAGTCTGCCCTGTGACAGTCCTAAAAAAATCAAACCAAAACAGGTGATTCCTGCCACCATAGAAATGGGAAATTCTCTTTCCTAGCCAATAGAAGCCCTTTGCCACTAGACATATATCATGAGAACTGGGATCAGACTGGGCTGGTTTAAACCTTTAGCCTGGCTCCACATGCCAGTGAACTATTTCCTTGTGGCTAATTTCTTGTGCTTGAGAATTTCCGATTTCACTTGTTAAGGGATTGCAGTTACGATTAGAAAAAGCCCTTCCAGATGTGAATCTGGTGTTGACTGGCTGCGATAGGCTGAACATGCAACTAGAAGGAAGACCTGCTTACATTTATCTCAAGAGCCGTCATCACCGGGGCCCAGCAATGTCAGTACCGTGGCTGATCAAAGCAAGTGCACAGAATGCGTGACAATCAGGGTCCAGACACCACGCGGGGAGAACAAGAGGCCTGAACACCAGAGAGTAAGCCGTTGAATGTCATGTAACTATGCTAGAAAAACACAGCAAGAGCTGTCTCTTATGAAAGCTTGAAATGTTCTAAACTTAGTAATTATTAGGAGATATAGATGCAAGTTATGAATGCATGTAGACTGCACGTCGTAACATTTCTGTTCCACCTCAGAGCGGGACAGTGAATGAAAGGACGAGGTACCACCCAAGGCAAGTGTTTCCCTTAGCTAGTACTGATCCTTTTACAGTGGAAGGGGTCCAAAGCAGTGATCCTTCTAATTTTTTATGTCCATGTGCAGAATGAATTTTGTGATGTTCACCACCATGGAGGTGATGCGTAACACATCACAGAAATCATTATGCACAAGGATGGTGTGTGGCAGGGGTGGGCCGAGGGATTAAAGTGTAGGAGGGGGTTCATGGCAGTGGCAGAGGGCTGGAGTGTGTGTGGGGAGTGAAGATTCTGGCTGTGGGGTGCAGGCTCGAGGGTAGGCGTCATGGCAGTGGCAGAAGGCTGTAGTGTATGTGGGGAGTGAAGATTCTGGCTGTGGGGTGCAGGCTCGAGGGTAGGCTGTGGATGGAGAGTTTGCAGGGGGTGCATGCTGTCTCAGGGAGAGAGAATTACCTCTCATCATGGAAACTCAGGGACAGAGAAGTGCCTCTCCATGGCTGCAGCTGCTCCAGCAAGGCCTGGCCAGGGAAGGTGCTACCCCATGGCCCTGGCATCTCTGAGTTAGGCTGGATAGGGGCCAGTGGGCAGGGGTGCCTCTTTCCTGGCTGCAGCAGGTTCATGCTGGGGCCGACAGGAGGAGGTGCCTCTTACCACTCAACCAGATACAGGGCTTGGAAAGAGACATCTCTCCACACCACAGCCCGGCTCGGGACTTAATAGGCAGCTGCACGGCTTAGAGCAGGGCTTCTCAACTTTGGAAGCCCTGAGAGCCACAATAATATTCACAGCACATGCCAAGGGCCACAACTTAAGTGTGGTTGCATATACATGCAAATATATGCAAATAGGTTCTTTCACACTGACGGGCATTAATACAAAGATTAAGACAAGACTACACAACATGCAAGCCCCATTTAAATCAGTTCTGCTGATGTTAATAAAATGCAATAATTACCTGATTTCCACCCATATGACAGCACTTTTACTGAGCAATGACAGTCCCGGAATTTAACTATATGAAAATGCACCTCAACAGAAGACCATTCTATTGACTCGCTGTTGTGGAGCGTGTTCCCGGTGGAGGCCATGTTCAAAGGATCCCACCCACAGGCCGCATGGTGAGCCCTCAGTAAACCCAAACCGCACGGTGGGCTGCAAACAAACGGCCTGTGGGCTGTGTGTTGAGTAGGCCTGGCTTAGCGGGAACTTAAGGCTGAAGTGAGAGCTGTTCAGAGACAGGGACAGCTGTTCGAGGCAGAAAGCTGTTACCATAATGCTAGAGCTAGCAGTATGCTGGGAACCTGTTCAAAGGCAACAGGTAACTTGTAGCAGGAAAAGGGACTGTACCCTGGATGGGAGTATGTCTAGACTACATGGCTCTGTTGCCAGAGCCATGTAGGTTAGTTTACCAGACATACCCAAATGAAGCCGCGATTTAAAATGGCTGCCACGCTGTGCCAGGGGTCAGCTGTCCCGGCACAGCGGGGCAATCTAGACGCGCCACGATCGACAGGGAAGCCTCTGTCGACCGCTCTGTTATGCCTCGTGACTCATCATGAGGCAGACTCATCACGAGGCATAATGGAGCGGTCAACAGAGGCTTCCCTGTCAACAGTGGCGCATCTAGACTGCCCTGCTGTGCCGGGACAACTGATCCCCGGCACAGCGTGGCAGCCATTTTCATGTAAATGAAGCTGCAATTATTTAAATTGCAGCTTCATTTGGGTATGTCTAGTAAACTAATCTACATGGCTCTGTTGCCACAGCCATGTAGTCTAGACATACCCTGGATGTGTAAAGTTGCGTCTTTATGTTGATTTACTGTTTAACCTGTCTGTTTGCTCTCTGTCACAACTCCATTTCTGAATCTGTAGTTCTGCTGTTAAATAAACCTTGTTTGCTTTTACCTCATGCAGGTCTTTTGTGCTGTGAGGAGTGCATGCAACAAAGTGAACTGATAACTGGGGTACTGGCTTCACGCCTGCAGCGATGACAAACCAAAGGGGAATGGCCTGAGCTTCTGGGAGGATGGATTTGGGGAGATTTGGCACTGGAAGGGCTGTTGGCATCACCCGGCCAGGAATAATGCGGGCAGGGTGCTGGTGTCAGGGCCCTGAGGCAGGTGCTTTAATGCTGAGCTGTTCTGGAAGTCCCAGGACCAGCAGTGGCAGAACCTCATAGGCTACGTCTACACTGGCATGATTTTCCAAAAATACTTTTAACGGAAAAGTTTTCCGTTCAAAGCATTTTCAGAAAAAGTGCGTCTAGATTGGCAGGATGCTTTTCCGGAAAAGCACTTTTTGCGGAAAAGCGTCCGTGCCAATCTAGACACACTTTTCCGCAAAAAAGCCCCGATTGTCATTTCGGCAATCGGGGCTTTTTTGTGGAAAAGAAATCTCTGCTGTCTACACTGGCCCTTTTCCGGAACAGTTTTCCGGAAAAAGACTTTTGCCCGAACGGGAGAAGCATAGTTTTTCCAGAAAAGCACTGATGATTTTACATTAGATCGTCAGTGCTTTTCCGGAAATTCAAACGGCCAGTGTAGACAGTTGGCAAGTTATTCCGGAAAAGCGGCTGATTTTCTGGAATAAGTGGCCAGGGTTGATCCCCCAACATCATAGAATATAACAGCGATCTGCTACAACTAGCTTCTCATTTTGGCTTCATGGCTGGGTAGCGTTGGATTTGTGGGCCAGCCTTGGAAGAATGTCAATACAGGATTTTTTCTCAGTCTGACCGCTGATGAAATAACATTCTGTAAAAGCATGACACTGTTTGGCTGCCTGCAACAGCACAAGACTGGGCTGAACCACCCAAGAGGTGCCTTCCTGTCCTACATTGCCATGAAAAAGCTACTTTAGACATTTTAAAATATTTTTTGTACACCCTGGTTATGATAGCAACTGCACAATGAGAATTTTTAGAGGCTTCCAAAGAGTCTCTACCTACAAGGCCAGTACAGTTAAACTTAAGGGACAGGTTGGACCTCCCCGGTCCAGCTTCCTTGGGACCTGACCAATCCCAGACAAGGTAGTTTTCCGGACAAAGGAAGGCCGGGGGCGGGGGAAGTACTAGCCTCCCTACTGAGTTTCTCTCCCCGGCCACCTGGGCTCCTCTCCCCAGCCTCTTAGCCCCGCAAACTGCAGCAGCCCTTCCAGAGCTCCTGCCGACCTCACGCCAGCCCCACCGCCCTTCCGGAGCTCCTGCTGGCCCTGCCAACCTTGCAGCAGCCATGCCATCCCACTGGAGTTCCTAGCAGTTCTGCCGTCTGTGGGCTCCACTGCCCCACAAGCTCTGGCCCCAGTCGGCTTCCCTACCCTGCTGGCTGTAGGCTCTGCCACCCCCATCAACTGGATTCAGATCTGCTTAGTCACAATGAATGGGTCCCATTAAGGACAAAGTAGGAAAGTGCTACTTAATGTAAGGAGATGAGAAGCCAGCTCCCTAATAGTTTTGCAGTAACACATATGGCATATGCAGAATATACATGATGGCAAAGATCTTACACCTGCAGATAATCTGACTTTCTAATTCTTGCCTATTCAACCCTGTAATGGTGATAAAGCCCCATCACACCACCAAGTGTTTTTATAATGGACATGTGTGTTGTTTCATTTTCCTATCTAAAGAAAGCAAGCCCAAGTGGGATTCAACTGGAATTTTATTCAGAGTCTGGTTTGCACTTACTTCAGAGTCTCAATCTTCCGGAGCCTAGTAGATCTTGGAACTGCTCTTTCCAAAAGAAGCTCTGTAGTAACTTTGGACATGGTTAGTTTCTGCCACTTTCCTGGGAGCACAAAGCTGACAGCGGTAAAATGTCTTCCAGGAACTTTCCTGGTGAAAGAAACAAGAATTAGGAGGAGTCCTGTAAAACTTTTTCTCAACAAGAATGAAAGAAAAGGTGATGGTGCAACTACTCCTTTTTTTGTTGATAAATCAGACGTTTATTGGGTAATTTAGTAATCCAGCCTTGCAAAACAATCATAAACATTTACCAAACTGGACATACATTTCACATCACCTGCCCCGACTGTCACAATGCTAGTAATAAAACCACTCGTGATACTGTGGGTCAGTTGTATCCTACATTGCAAACTGGCACAGGGACCACCTCTTAGTTCTGTGCATGACCAGGGCTCTTAGTTGCTATGCAAGTCATAAACAATATCTGCCTGCTGCAAGGTTTCTTCCTCTGAAGTTTTACTGGCCACTGGATCGGATACCAGACTACAAAGACCACTAGCTGGATCCAGGCTGGCAATTCTTAAATTCCTAAAATATTGCAAAACTAATCAAACTAGCTCAGTGGTGGGCAACCTTGGCTCAGCAGCCAAATGTGGCCCATCTGGGGTCTGTGTGGTCACGAGTAGGGATATTATTTGGTAACTGGTTACCCAGTAAGCATCACTCTTATCAGGTGATGCTTATCGGGTAACAGTTAACCCATACCACAGGAAGCAGGCCCCTGATCACAGCCCACTGCAGGCAGAGGGCTGCTCCAGGTCTGCCAGACCCCCACACAGGCTGGGAGCTGGCAGCCCCATGTGGGGCTGGAAGCGGCGGCCATGGCACCGTGTCCCCAACATCATGTTCTAATCAAGACTGTGTTGCTACATTATGGGCCAAGTGACTGTGACTGGTTCAGTTCTAACTCAGGACTACACTGCATTGGTATGTTACAGGCCAAGTCTGAGAGGCTGTCACTGTTTTAGCACAGAGCTGCATTGCCATGTGACAGGTTCATGGGAAGCTGTAACTGCAACATCCTGCTCTGATACAGTTCTGGTTCAAAACAGCATTGCCCCATGATGGGTTCCTAGCTATGGTCGCATCACCATGATCCGGTCCAGTTCCAATGCAGGATTGTGTTCTCATGTTACGGGTGGCATGGCTGTGACTGCGTGACTGAGACCTGGTCCAGTGCCAGGTCCAGTCCAGCAAAGGGTTGAGTTGCCATGTGGTTGTGACCGGGTTAGGGTGTTCTGGTTCAGTTCTAGTGCAGGTTGTGTTGCCTTACTATGGGTTGTATGACTGTGACTAGGTCACCACGATTCTATCGCGGTGTTCCAATACAAGTCTGGAGATTGCATTACCAGGGAAAGGTCACGTGGTTGTGACTGAGTCACCCTGTTTTGATCCAGTTCTGAGGTGGGATTAGATTACCACTCCATGGGGCTGTGGCCTAGCCACCCTGTGCCACTCCATTTCCAGCTCAGAGCGACACTGCTGTGCTAAGGGTTCTGTGGCTGTGATCAGGCTGCCACGGTCCAGTGCAGTGACCGCAAGGGACTGTGCTGCTGCTGTGTTAGCAGTTGCAGGGCTGTGACTGGGTGACAGTGGCCTGGTCCAGGTCTGCTGTGGATTTGCATGGCCATGTCGAGGCAGTGATCAAGCCCTCCTCTTCCAGTTCAGTTCCGGTTATTCAGTTCCAGCTCAGGGCTACGTCGCTGTGTCCAGATCCAGTTCCAGCGAGATGTGGCACCGGCATGTTCTGGCCCAGATAGGGCGCCGAGCTCTGTGACATATGGCCACAGCTGGGCCCTTGTGTTCTGGTCCAGCTGCAGACCAGGCCACGTTAACAAATGCGTTTGTGACCGTGTTGTGTTCTGGTCGGGTCCAGGGTAGGTCTGGGGGGGCACGTCCCCACGTCCCAGCTCAGTCCCTGTTCAGACCCTTGTGTTCTGGTCCAGCTGCAGACCAGGCCACGTTAACAAATGCGTTTGTGACCGTGTTGTGTTCTGGTCGGGTCCAGGGTAGGTCTGGGGGGGCACGTCCCCACGTCCCAGCTCAGTCCCTGTTCAGAACCCTGCCTGAAACAGGGCGGGGGGGTGGAGGGGCCAGCACCCCCATGTCCCAGGCCAGCTCTGGCTCGGGACCCTGGCCGGGAGGGGGAGGGGCCGCAGAC